TTCAAGTATTTTTTAATTTATTGCCCAAGTTATCAATCATGAAGCCATCAAACACTGGGACGTAGAAATACTAAAAATAATGTTTATTCACATTTTATTTGTTCTCCTTTGAAAATTGTGACTATGTGGGTTGGGGGTTTCAATAATTCTAGAAAGTTTTTTTTTTAGCCATTTTGGCCTTAATTCTGTTCATTATTCATTTTGTTCTCTCTAGAACTTCCACGCTGGACTTCTAAACCATTCATACATATAAATGACAGAGAAGCACACTGAATAATTTTAAATCATTAAAGTTACTTATAAACTTAATACTTTGAGTTAGTTAAGTATAAACTTATATATTGTATAGTAAATTTATCAAGTAATTTTCACCTCATCCTAATCCATATTCTGAACCTTCACGATTTAAGTTCTTTCTTGTCCAAGTACTGGAATTAAATACAACTACTAGTATAGTTTTGTTAAAATGTTTAAGCACACTATACATTTAAATGATCACCAAACTCCCTCAGGACAGAGCTGTTTTTAGTAGTTTGCTTTTCTTTGGTATTTGTGCACGTAACCATGTGCGGTGGATGTCAGAAGTCAAGCACTGACTGGCTGGCATCTTCAGCTGCTCTCTACCTTCTTCCTTGAAAATAAATCACATTGATGTGTTCATTTTGAGTGTTTGTGCATGGGTGTGTATGTCATGATGCCCATGTGTCAACCAGAAGAAAACCTGCATGAGTTGGTTCTCTCTTTCCACCATGTGAGTCTCAGGGATCTAACTCGAGTTGTCAGGCTTGGCAGCAAGCGCCTTTACTTGCTGAGCTATGTCACAGGCCCTGAACCCTGAGCTCATCAGTTCAGCCAGGCTGAGCATTCAATGAGCTCTAAAGATCCTCCTGGCTCCCTCACGTCAGCACTGGAGTTTCAGATGCACCCCTCTGGCTTTTGCATGGGTGCTAAGGATTTCAACTCAGGTCCTCATGCTGGTGTGGCAGACACTTTACTGAATGAACTATCTCCCTAATTTATTACAGCATCTAAGTTTACAGGGGACTGCTTACCAGCAATGAGTCTCTGAAGGGCACCTTTATCTCCATTAACTGCAGCAGCATGAACCTTTGATGCTAATGAGGATCCAGCAGAAAGCACATTCTCTGAAATGTTCATAGTTTTCTCCACAACATGAGAGACCTGAAATAGTGATTGAGACAATGAGTACAAGTTGTCCTGGAACTAGCTCTGTGGACCAGGCTGGCCTCAAACTCAAGAGATCCACCTGCCTCTGCCTCCCCGAGTACTGGGATTAAAGACATGAGCTACCACCATGCAGCCAGAAAACACTTCTAAAACCTACCTTATCAGTGCTAAGTAGGTAGCTTGTAATGATTTATTATAGATATTTAAATAGGATTTAACTATTTAATTCCTATGTCTATAACTGCTATGACATGGCAAATTAGATGGCCTTTGTACTACTTGCTTAACTGTATAGTGAGAGAATTTTCTCAAAAAATTAGAAGACATTTATATTAGACACAGAGTTTAAAAGTCATACTGACTTCTAAGATTAACACAGGTAATGTGATTCCACACAATTCTTTGTGAGATCAGACTGTGCCCTGCTTTAAGTCACTCCAGATTGGGTAAAATAGTGGTTTTTCAGCCTGTGCCTTGCCCTGACAGTCTCCACTTTATTAAAAGCTTTTGAATTGTGTTTTGAGGGCAGAGGACGACTGTGCTCCTGGGTGGAAGTGAACACTAGCTTCGACCCAGCACCACCCATGCAGCACAGACAGGTAAATGACTACAGTCATGAGGGATCAGAATGAGTGCCTTCCTAACAACTTTTCAAGGTGCAAAGCCTATGCAAACTTGGTTGAGGAACAATTTGAATACCATGATATTCCTTAACTGAGAATTTGCATTAGGCATTGTCCCTTTGGGAACTCTCAGACAAGACCCACATAGAGGGCAACAAGAGAAACAAAAGGTAACTGAGAAACAGAAGGTGGATTAAGGCTAGGTGCTAACACTCTGGAGGCAAACCAGGTGTAGCTCTGTAGGAATTCTCCCACAGTATTGAGACCATGAAAGCACATGAGCAAATAAAAATAACACTAAGGGAACCAGCCCCAATTGGACATGCCAGACCAAGGCTGGTTGTAACTTCCTCATCTGGACCGTATAAAGTGGAAGACCTAGCAATGCAATGGCAATGGCAATGGCCTCCACCAACCTATCTTCTGAGACCCAGTGTGTGAATCAAGGACTGACAGGACGTTCTCAACTCTCCCTGAGGCTTCAGCTCAGCTGGGTCCTTGGCTGTTGAAGTAGACTACTTGACTGCAATCTGCCCATCCACCTGCTTGCTTGTCTGCATCTGAACCCACTGTTCTTGTTCTAATTAGGTGTTGCAGCTGACTGGATCTTTGCCCTCCACCCTGACTATCCTGTGGCCTGATGTGAATAGTAGCAGCTTGTTCTCTGTGGCTGGCTTGGGGTTGTTACTTATCAGGACAGAATCTACTTGAAATTTTTATCAGCCTACGTATGAAACCTCTCACATTCTGCCACAGGTTAAGTTGTATTCATTCTGTAAATTATATATATGCATATTTACTGTGTGCTGTTTAATATGAGAGTTAATATTAGTAATTGAGATTGGAATGAAACAATCTGCAGTTGCCTTGGCCAGATTACCAGAGTAGATGGGATTATCTGGCAAAGGGCTACCACTGAAACTGCTTGTGAATTTATTTTATTCACTGAAATCTGACATAAAAAGACACAAGCATGCTTGCCTATGTTTCTGACATAGCTCTTTCACAACTGACAAGGATTATTGAATTGTTCTAATTTACAAAATAGTAAATTATGGTAAAAGCTGGCTTTTCGTTTCTTTAAGTTGCTGACAATGTGAGTTAACATGCTGGCAGAAAATACGGAAGCTGATGTTGTGAGGCACTTCTGTTTTGTCTGAACATCTGTGTTATGTTAGAACAAGGAGGGTCATATGCAGGACTGTAGCAAAGTCACTTGAGAGAAGCTACAAAACAAGGATTGAGGTAAATCATAGTAGGAAACTACATTTAAGTTCCTGGTCCAGTTGTGTTAATGATCAGCTGTGTGTCTTCAGACTACCTCAGCTCTTTAAATTTCAGTAACTATGAAAAATTAAAAGGGCTATGTTCTTTTATTTAACAAGCGAGGTGCCAACTATTCCAGCATCACACTGAATTCTAAAACATCCCTTTGGATCTAAAGCGAACAGTTTTAAGGGTGCCAGACCACAAAAACTTATTTGAATACTTTGAAAGCTGTCAAAATAGTTGTATCTATCGATATACATTTTTACAGATGTGCTTAACCATAATTCTAGCAATGATGACAGCGGTAGGTGTACAGCTGGCGCTGAAAGAATGTTTAGAGTGAAATGTCAGAGGGCAAGTCCTGAGTCCAAAGGGTAAGTCGGATCAAATTTTAACTTCAGGTAGAAATGAGGTTTTCTTTTCCTGTTCTTTTCTTTCTTTTCTTTTCTTTTTATTTATTCATTTATTTTTTTGCCTCCCTTTATTTTTTCAAGACAGGGTCTTGAAATTTAGAGACCAGGTTGGCTGGGAACTTATTACATAGACTGTGCTGGCTTTAAACTCCCGATCCTTCTGCCTCGGCCTCCCAGGTGCTGGGAATACTGGCTTGCACCACCGTAACCAAGCCTCCTGCTTATGAACTTCTCATTGATCTAAACTTGGGTTCTGTCAGAGCATGAGGTGAGTGGTACACTGATCAGACCACTGCATTAGGAAGGAGGAGATTTAAGAGGATTGGCTCCACCACACTTTAATTCTGAAGCCCCAGAAAAGCCATTCCTCTAGGGCTCTTCTTAACAGAAATGTTATTTTCCTTGCTGCTCCCCCAATAAATAATTTTTTATAGACAGAAATCAAAGCCACTTTGTTAGTGCTATAAAATGTAAATGTATCATCATCATTAACTCATTATCAAATAAGCCTGTGCAGTAAGCACTCCTCTAATTATTACAATGCAAAGTAGTGGTGCTGGGCTCACACACAGAGAAAATGCAGTTCTGGTTAGGATGAAAGGGTTGGTGACTGTGACAGGCCTCGGTGGAGTCAAATGCCGACATGCTGAGACTCGAGATGGGACTCCAGAGAGAGAGAAGGGGTAAAGCCACTTCAGGCAGCAGGAAAGCTGAAGCAAAGACTGGGCACAGGGAGAACCACAAATGCAGAGCGCCTCCTGGGAGCTTGGGAGTGATGATGTGGCTAATTTTCCACGCACACAGACCTGGCGGGGTGTTCACAGAAGATTCTTGAAAGTTACCAGACACCAGGTTACAATCCTTTGCTCTGTGGTTAATTAGTAAACATACTGTAAGAAGTGGTCACTGTCCCTTAGGCACTGCGCTCTACAGTTTACAACATGCTTTCCCACCCTTTCTCTCTTCCTTTCACGGTCCCTCAGAAGCAACCCTGGGTAAGTAAGTCACAGACTGAAGCCCCAGTGGTGGCTCTCCTTATATAACGGAGGAAGCAGCGCAGAAAGAAGAGGCAGCAGGCTTTGAGGCCAGGGATGGAGGAGGCTCAGGCCACACCTCAGACCAGGCGGGCCAAGAATCCGAAGCAGCGGCCGGGGCGGTGCTGGCCAGCCTGCCCGAGCCGCCCGTGCCAGACCGCTTCCTACTCACCCTTGCCTCCAGGACTGGCGTCCCGGGATGGCACCAGGAGGCACGACCCCCACGGGGCCGCCCCTCCCGCCAAGTTAGGCCACTGCGCCCGCAGGGACAGACCCCAGGACACCAGAGCCCGGGAGCTCTGAAAAAGCAGCCTGAGGCTCTCGGCCGCAGAGCCCTCTGGGAATTGTAGTTCCCATCCCCCGAGGCGCAGAAGTACGCGGCCCCTTCCAATCCCGAAGAGCCCCGCGCGCAGATGGCTTGGCCGCCCTGGGCTCAGGGCCTACTGGGAAGGAGAGTTCCAGCTCTCAGATGACGTGGTTAATGAGAGCAGTATGGGACTACATTTCCCGAAGTGCTCAGAGGTGGGCAGGACCCGGAAGTGAGGGCGTGAGAGGCCTCTCTGGAAGTTGTCCCGGGTGTTCGCCGCTGGAGCTCCGGGTCGAGAGGACGAGGTGCCGCTGTCGCCGGCCCCCGGAGCGCAGCCCTTTCCTAGCCCGGTCCAGTCCCAGCCGCCACCTCCTGACCCCACCGTTACCATGAATCCCGCCGTCTTCCTGTCTCTACCCGACCTCAGATGCTCCTTGCTGCTCCTGGTGAGTGTATGTAGGGATGACAAACCCTCCGACTGTGTCCCTGACCGCCTCCCGCCCTCCGCCAGGCGGAACGGTGCTGCCCCTGCTTGCCTCGACTCTCCTCCGCTGGTGAGGCGTACACCCCCTGGAGCTGCCTTCACCTTCGCCGGTTCCTTTGGCTTCTTAGGCCTGCGGTCCACGAGGCCTGCGAAACCACAATCAGGGATTGGGGGACCTACAAACAGGACAATTCGCCTTAGGGGAGTGATACGTGGGAGGTCACGGCTGAGGCTCCCTGGAGTACGTTTTAAGTTTTGTGGACGATGAGGACCCTGCTTGGGGCCTCAGGGTCCTAAGGGACCGAGGGGACACCTAATGTCTTCTCCCACCCTGGGAAGGGTGTGAAGCCGACAGGTGCTGGGGGCTTGTGAATCCCTGAATCCTCGAAACAGGCTGGCAAAGCCCTCTGTTGTGGCTTCATGCGATTGGTTGGAAACCCGGAACTGGAGACTGGTTTGGTGTCTACTGGGAGAATAGGAATTTGAAAAGGTGGAGGGTGTGATTATCTGACAGGCTCTTCTAGGGACTCCCGCAAGCCCTGTGGCAACCTCTCCCTCTCACTGAAGCATATGTCTTTGTCGGTGCTCTCGAGAGTAACCAGCTCTCCTGCATACATATGTGCTTAATACTTCCCAGCCTGATGGGCATCGTCCCATCTTCGCAAAGAATCTTTCCCCAGTTTCTCTTCCTCCTAAATATATCTTGAGTGTGTGACTTAAGTGGCCTTGTCTTAAAGTCAAATTGAGACAAAAGTGAAGGTCTAACCCCATATGGGAAAACGAGAGGAGTTTAAATGGGCTGTTATGACACAGTATTTGAAAATACTTGAATTATGGTAGATTCTTAGAAAGCTAAATTTAAGATGAACATCATTGTATATAAATTACTTTCTTCACAGCTTAAGAATAATAATTAACTTGCAAGAAGCTGTATAGTTGGTTACAGGCAAAACTGAGTCTAGGAATAGATTTCTTAATTTATAGTGTGTATTCCATTGTATCACATAAAAAGTTTAACGTTTGTGTTTGAAATACTTTTCATTCTTATTATGACTTGAAAGCCATTTTTTATATACAATACTTCATTCTTTTCAAAATAAAATAGTGCAAGCTAAATGAAGTGAAAATACTTCTGAAGACTAAAGTTGTGTATAAACAAGGCAATGCTAAATGATAGAATGTCTTATTAGCACTTGTAAATTACTTCTTTAGAGAAGAATATTCTCTCTCTCCCTGTGTTTGTGTGTGTGTGTGTGTGTGTGTGTGTGTGTGTGTGTGTGTGTAATTTTCACTGTGGCACCTTCTAGAACAGTTACAATAATGCTATTAGAGGCCATATATTCTTAAGGACACTAATTATTAATCTTTTCTTTATCATAAAAAGAGTTATATGTTAGAAATTATTTTTAGGTGACTGAAAAGTCTAAAGATTAAAAATCTCAAGACATTGAAACATTGAAACATGAGTAGAAAAATGCTGTCAGTCAAGCCGTTTAAGAACATTTATTTTGAAATAATTGATGCTTTTTACTAGAGCATCTGTCAATCATGTTAAATATCTAAATGATGATTTCTTCTCAAATAAAGCCTATATTTTACTAAACTCTAGTTAAAAATATTCATGTATTTATCTTCCTAAGCAAAAGCAGAAGATAGGACTACAAACAGAAGCTGTTTTAGAGAATTCCTGTAAAGATTAATGGGCTGGAAAACAAAGCCTCTGAAAAGTTTTCATGAACCAGAAGTACAAGTCAAACTAGATTCAATTTGAACACAGTGTTTGCTTACTTAGTTCTAATAATCTAATCCTAGTTTAGCAGATATTCATGAAACATCTGTCTTAATCTCAACAGTGAGTAGCTTGTCTGAGTGCTAATTCAGTCATAGTGATGGAACCTGCTTACTCAGTAGCCCACCTGTCTAATGAATAATCCTGGGTTCCCTTCAGGCATCAACATGATGACTCTCACAGACAGGCATAGAAAACTCCATTTCCCTCTTAGCTGAGGTCATCATTTTTCCCTTACATGCTTGGACACCCATATGTTCTTTTACTACAGTAAGGAGCACTCTGGACCTCAGTCTTAAAGAGCTATTAATACCTACTTAAATTGTAGGGTTTGTAAAATACTAGCCAAAATTGTAACACTGAATTTCAGGAGGCAAGTGGATATCTTTTCCCTGATCGCAAAAGTATTCTAGAATATATCATTCCATGTCTTAAAAGCATTTCTGAATGGGTAACTAACCACAGACACTTGGTGTGATAACTCTTTCATTATGTGTTAATTGACCCTTTTCTTCTTTGTGTCTGAAATAGGTTGATTGAGAATCAAAATAGGTTCTTTTCTGCTTAACTGTTTCTTAGCCATACTCTCATTGGCTTGTGTAAGTTTTTAAAATGTGAGATAAGAGAGAGATGGCCGAATTGGAATGAACTGTGTCAGATATCCTAAGTAAACTCCTGTGCTTTAGGGATTTTAACTTTTATTCCAGTTGTTCTATTGAAGATGTTGTCTCACTAATCTCTTGATCATTGTGTTCAAAGATTCTAGGTTCTTACTAGCTCTGATAGTCCTGTGCTTGTATAAGTTAATATACTTGCTGTTGCTGCACTTGGCTTTTTGTTTTCTGTAAGTATAGGAAGCCAAGAAAATATTACCTGGTTTAGGAAGCTATGTAATTAGAGAGCTAAGTAAACACTTGTATATATCTACTGAATATATTTTAAAGACTTTTTTTTTAAGTGTCAGTTTTAGTCATTAATGCTAACAATAAAGAAAATGTTCAGTCTTCAAGAAAAAGTACTATTGGAAGCATGTAATAGATTCATAATAGGTGGGTTATTTATCCTTTTTATATAACTTGTCCTATATCCATGGCTTACACTATGTGGCTGCTCTTTACAATCACTTGGGACAGTTTTAATAAAATGCAGTTCAGAGTTATCCTGGGTTCCGTTCCCAACCCCACAAAAAACAAACAGTAACACAAAGTTGCATGGGCCATATACCAGTTATATCTATCCCATAGGGCTCAGACATTAGTTTAATTTCCCTCCAAACACTATTATCACGTCCATAAATTTATTCAGATATTACTTGGTGTTTAAATATTCTTTGTGTCTGTTTTTGAAAACTGATTGATCAAATCGGAACCATACAAGTTCTGTGCATGCTATTTGGTTTGTGTTTCCTAGGACTTTTGTATGCCTGGAATTGAACCCAGGACCTTGAGCATTGTAAGCACACACTGTATTACTGAGCAGCTGCCAGACCAAGATGTTTAAAGTCTGTAGCTTTTTTTTCCATCTCATTCATTCTTTTTTCTTTATCTTGATAATTTCTTTAGGAACTGTGCTGTAGAACATCTCACACTCTTGTTATCACCGATTGTAGCCTCTTGATGTGGTTTTTATGTTTCTCTGTTCGTTGAATTTACTAGTAGAAATCTGTAACTCAATTTTTGTGGTTTTTTTCAACCACCAGCTCAATATGCATTGCTTACTTTGCTTATTTATCTTTCAAGTTAAGTTTTTGAAAATTTATTATTTACTTCATAATCATATGAAATTTATGATCTTCAAAGCCAACCATATTGTGTTAAGATAATTCTGATTTCTTTGTCTCCTCTACTCTTATCAACCTCCTAATGTAAGGTGACTTAATATTCTTTCTTTTTTTACTCTTGTATTTATTTCTTTTTTAAAATTAATGTAAGTTATTTGCTTTTTTGTCTATATATGTTTTTCTAGTTTGATTTTATATATATTATTCATACTTTTTTCACCTTAAAATGATAAAAATACCTTTTTCAGCTTAAAGTTTTATATTAAAGGTGTTGAGATAGAACTGTTCCACATTTGTGTGTGTGTGTGTGGCGGGTGGGGGAGTGCATGTGTGTCTGCAATCAGAAGGCCAGGAGATGACATCGGATGTTGTCCTTACATGATGTCTACCTTGGTTTCTGAGCAGGGTCTCTCATTTGTTGCAACTAACTGGTTAACTTAGGCTGACTGGCCATGGAGCCCTAGTCTCCACCTTCCCAATGTTGGAATACAAGGTTGTATTACCATGCCTGACTTTTAAACTTTAGTTTAAAGAATTTTAATTTAATTAATTTTTTGACAGTTTCATATATGTGTATAGTGTGTTCCAGTCATTTCCACCCATATTATCCACTTTTCTGTCCCTTTTCTGCTGACACCCATCTTCCCAAGAAGTTCCCTTTCAACTATCATGCCTTTAAAAAAGTGTGTGTGTGTGTGTGTGTGTGTGTGTGTGTGTGTGTGTGTGTGTGTGTGTGTTACCTGTTTGTGGTGTATGACTCACTGAGTTTATTTAGAGTTGCTTGCATGAGCATGGGTGGGGAGGTTATTTACTGGGGCATGGGTTACTTTTCTGTGGGTAGGTTTACCACTGATGTACACGACACCCCCTCCCCCAGTGATCATTACCTGTCAGTGGTCCCTCATGGAGCAGTGAGGTTAATGTGCCTCTCCCGTCATGAGGAAATGCTGAGAGACTGTCTTGTGTAGGCCACCACAACTGCAGTGAGTGCATGAGTGCAACAGCCTTGGAGTGTCCACAAGACATCTTTTTGTGGCATGCCACCCTAGTCTTCAACTCCTACAGTCTTCTCCATCTTTCTTCCACAGTGTTCCCTGAGCGTTGGAGGTGACAATATAGATGTCATATTTAGACATTTAGGACTGACTATTCCACTGTCACCCGTGGTTGGCACTTCAACCAGTTATGAGCCTCAGCATTAACTGCTGCCGTAAGCTTTAAGCAACTTTTCTGGGGAGGGCTAGGAGCAGCACAAAGCTATGGGTATAAACCAGAGTATCAGAAGACAGTCTGGCATGTCAATTTAGCAAAACACTTTTTTTTTTTGGTCTTACTCATTAGGCTAGGCTGATTGGCTAGGGAGCCTATGACCTTCTCAGCCACTGGCTCTTGA